ATATATATATATATATATATATATTGTACGATTTGTATTTGAATATCATTATTTGCAAAATCATTTTACGATAATATTTATGTTTAAATAAAAAAATATAATTTATACTATAGACTAGCATGATAGTATGTATATATTTTTTTGTTTTACTAATGAATATTTTTGCCTACGATTTATGCGTTAATAATTTGACTTTTTGTTGTTGTGTATTTTGTCGTGTTTGTGTGTTTATTTGCTTTATGTTATTAGTGTTGAATCACAACGGATTGTACTCATAATTAATTAAAATTTTACCATGAAAATTAAAAATCAGAATATTACCTTGCATTATCCTTTTTTATTTAAATGAAGATTTATTTATTGTAATAATGGAATAATCAGAATATGATAATCAATATTATAAAAATGACATTTATATTTTTTTTAGTTAGAAAATGAAATAATTTAAGTAGGTAAAACGTTTCTCAATTTTTAACAATGAACACAGTCCAATATTTTTCTGTATTTTTATCTAGAATAGATGAAATATATCTTACATTCAGATTCTATTATATTTTTATAGAATTTTCTATTTTTTTATATTTTATATTTTCTTGGTATTTTTTCAAACGGGTGTATATATATATATATATATCAATATATATAAAATATATGTACAAGTTTTTTTTGTTTTAATCTGATTGTTTAGGAGGTCAGTGTAATATCAATTAATATCACTTTCATTGTTGCTTACGCATCTTTGTTTTGTATGTATTGGAAATACAATTACATTTTTGGTATGCCAATGTCATAAAATTTTTTGCTGTATAAATAAATAAAATATAAATAAAGAAAAATAGAAAGCAAAACGAGATAATAATGAGAATGCGGCACGGTACTTATTATTAGTTTTCTATTATGCGTAAATTGGTAATTAACACATTTTAGTTAACGTAATTAAATCCGTCGGACATTTCAGTTACGCCTGGAATCATTTTCATCGAAAATAAAAATTAATACTATTTAATTTCACTTTCGAATAGAAGATGGATCATTAATCAATTACCAATTCCAAAGGTAAAATTCTTCATTGTGGTTAGAAAATAAAGAAAACTAAAGACGAGGCAAATATATAGCCTGTGATTTATTTAAAGGTGCGACACAAATTTATTATTAGAAATTGAACTGATCTAATAACCAACAAAACATAATTTATCTGAAGAGTTCAAGAGCGTGTGAACAAAGAAAACTTCGATATAAATGTAAAAGTCCATAGTGATGTAATCAGAATAAGCGTCAAATAATAGTCAAATAATAAAATTATAATTGATTCATGCCCATTTCTACCAATGTAGAATAGCTTTAATCCTGGTTCAAATCTTTATCTTTTTCTAATTCTTCTAATTTCTAATTCACACACAGCAATGTAAAACGTGAAAATAATAAATAAACGAAATACATATAAGAATAACAATAAATATAGGACGCGTTAAACCCTGACAGCCGACCAATAATGGACCAATCACATTGAATCAGTCTTATTGTGATTGGTCCATTATTGATCGGCAGTCAGAGTTGGCAGTTGGGGGTCGATCTGCAGAGTCGATAGTCTGATCCGGCCTTTATACAATTTTATTATTTGTTATACGCATTAAATATTGCGCTGCACTCTCATCAGCTTTTTTTGTTCTTATTTCAGTATATTATAGTAAGTTTTTTACTTTTTTCTTTTTTTATAAATAAATGTTTATGTTATTGAGAATCTAAAAATATTTATAAAACTTCTTTTATTTTGATTCTTGATTATATTGGCATATCAAGAAATATTATGAAACAATTGAAATATTACTTTTGCATTAAAAAATCTTTAGGACCTGTAGGCGTCGCTGCAGCGGCTGCCATTGTGTCAGCCAAGAAGCGAAAACGACCTCACAGTTTTGAAACTAATCCCAGTATCAGAAAGAGACAACAAAACAGGCTTTTAAGAAAGCTTAGAGTAAGTGAAACTCTCCTACGTGAATAATTAGACTCTGAAGAATATAAATCAAAAGAATATAACAAATATCTATAAAGCCAACATTGGAAGGACATGTGTATATATAAACTTATTCTCGTATTACAATAACGGAAACATTTCGACCCATAATTTGATTCCTCAGTATATAAAATTCAAATATAATAAAAATATAAATAATACAGTAAAAATCACACAAAATATGAATAAAGTGCAGTAATCAAATTTAGTAAGAATCATGCAAACAATCTATCTCTTATGTTTATTCTTTGGCACTCAATTCTGTATGACGGTTCTTATCAAATTTGATTGTTATGCTTTATATTTTATGCAATTTTTAGTATTACATTACAGTATTATATGAATAAGCCAAATCGAAAATCAAAACGCGTTTACATTGTTATACGAGAACAAATTTATGTATATGTCACAATCAGAGTGTTAACTTTAGTAATAGCATTTTTCACTGGCATAATTGGTGCATACTCAGTGTACATTAAAGCTGTTATACACTAACCTAATTTGAATGTATAAAAGTGAGATATCTCAATTAATAAAATATCCAATGTATATTTTATCAAATACCACAATAAAATATATTGAGGATTTCGCGGTTTAATTCATTTTTATATTTTTAATAAAAATGTACATCGATTTATGTACAACAGCTTTAAAGTGCACCGAGTGCACCAGCTCTGCCAGTGAAAAACTATGTATATACATTACTAGTCAATGCATACATTTACGTATAGTAAATGTATATGTTGATTACAACAGACTACAGTAAGTGTATACATTTACAGTAGTTAACACTTTGACTGTAATATATATAAAAATACATAATATATACACATACTGATGTATGTGACTGACATGTATATACATATTCATGATATTGTAGTATTGGCTTTTACAAGTATTTTTTATATTCTTTTGATTTAAATTTTCTGATAATTTATCAATATCATATAATATCATTTTCATTATTACTTGCGTTCTTGTATTTTCGCGTATATATTTATTCTAGCACAATAGTATATATTATTTTAGAATTTTACAATATTATCGAACTGTTTATAGCAAACTATTGACGAATTTGCTACCCGAGTTGGACAACAAGCAGTAGTGCTAGTGGCTACGCCAGGCAAACCAAATAGTAGTTACAAAGTCTTTGGAGCAAAGCCCTTAGAGGATGTAGTTAAAAATCTAAGGACCGTTATCATGGAGGAGCTGGAGAACGCACTTGCGCAACAAGCACCGCCGCCCGTGCAGGATGATCCGTCATTATTCGAATTACCACCGCTTATAATCGACGGTATACCAACTCCGGTCGAGAAGATGACACAGGCGCAACTTAGAGCATTCATCCCGTTGATGTTAAAGTATTCTACAGGCAGAGGTAAACCTGGCTGGGGAAGAGATAGTACGCGACCTCCTTGGTGGCCCAAAGAATTACCTTGGGCTAATGTCCGAATGGATGCGCGAACGGAAGACGAAAAACAAAAAGTACGTAAATTCGATAAGAATATTTTTAATTTTTTCTTTATTGTTTTATCATTCTGTTCCAATACCAAAATATCTTTAAATGATTTGTTTCATTATTTTACATCATTATTTAAAAATCTTAAAAATATGTTATATAAAATACAAAGGAAAAAAATTAAATTTTTTGAAATATATATATATGTGTACAAGAAATAAATGATTTTTTTCAATTTTTTACTGTTCTATGTATTTGATAAAAGATAATGAACATAAAATAGTTGATCGAATAATCTATTCCAAGAACTTATTAATTGGATGTTAAACGTATGAATTGGGACAGTGCAATCCATTACAGATCTCCTGGACTCATGCGTTACGGCAAATTGTAATAAATTGTTACAAATATCACGGAAGAGAAGATCTTCTACCGGCGTTTAACGAAGATGACGAAAAGTCTAATACTCTAATACAACAAGCGACGCCTCATTCCTCGTCGCATCCATCATCGAGCCAGACACAAAATGGAGGACAGTCGCAACAGCAACAGACGGTGGGAGTTGTTCGTCTCAACAGCGCAGATTCATCTAAGGGAAACTCTTCGCCAGCACAAATCATTGCCGCGTCTCCCACAGCTCTTGCCACTGCCACTCAGGTGGGAGTGGATGGAGTTTATAAAAAAAAATAGAATTTTTAAAACAGATCTAGGATGACACGAAACAATATGAATTTTAGATCCCTATTTACTAAAAAATTTTTATTTTGATACTTAGAAAAATGTTAACAATTTTTATTTCTTATTTCAAGTTTTTCACTCTTCAGAAACCTGATTTTCATTTGTTTCTACAGTCCGCATCATCATATAAAAAAAAAAGAATCTAAAATTTTAATCTGGAATATTCTTTACAAAGTCGTATTTCTACTGATGTGTTTGGTTTCCCTTATTTGAGTTAAATCTTTTTTTTTTTTATTATTATACCATAGATTTCAGAATTGAATATATATTAAAATATATTAATTTGTATAATCTGTATTTAGTAATGGAACATTTATAAATCAAAATCATATATTTAAAAATTAAAATTCTAAGAGAACTCATAATAATGTTCCTTGATTCAAAGCTGCATTCAAAAGCATTATTCACTGTCATTTTTAAGCACAAAGTAACATACTATACAGTTACAACAACTACTCAAGATTACATTTGAGATAATGTTTAAAAATTTGGAATTGAAAAATCATGATTATTTTTTATGATTATCTTTTCTTTTGGTATATTTCATTCTTTTTATTGTTTTAGTTTCCTAAGATTTTTATAAAATGACAGTCCATGGAGTTTTGAGATGCAGCCATGATGTGTACATAGTTTACTTATCTCTGACTTACACTTGTTTAACAGATGACAGCCCAATATCCGACAACTGTATTGCAGACAATAACCAATCCAGATGGTACAGTTTCTATCATACAGGTGGATCCTAGCACACCGATTATTACGTTACCGGATGGTACAACAGCTCAAGTTCAAGGAGTTGCTACTGTAAGTTTTCTTAAAAAATACAAATATTTAATAAAATAAAAAATCTTTAAAGATCTCTTTTTAAAAAACTTCTTGAAAATGTAAACGTTTTTTTTAGCACGTAATAAGATAGATGTAATATCCGATATAATACAGTATTTATGTTACAATATACATACACATATAAAATATATATAAAATTGATGTACAGTGACATTTGAATTCGATCATTCTATGCGTACACATACAGAAATACTAAAGGTCAATACATATGTAGATGTAAAATCAATACAAGACAGAAGTATATGTATGAACAAAGAGTTATAAATATCATGTAAAGATTAATATTTATAATAGAAATGTTTTATACTTTTAGATCATTTTCAGTTTGAAGAATATAAATTGAAATTGATGCAATAGACATTAACAAAATATTATAATAATAATAAATCGTCGAATCTATACTATAGATAATACTAGATGTGACAATAGTCCTAATATTTTTGGGAAAAAAAAATTGTTAAATTTATCCAATATTATATTATGTAATATAATGTACAAGTCATTTACAATAACATCATTTTCGATTGCATTCAGATTCATACGAGTCAAGGAGATGTTCAGGCACTAGCGGAAGTAGCCGGTAGCACAGAAGGTGCTAGCGTGGCCGTCGATTTGAACACCGTCACAGAAGCGACGTTAGGTCAAGACGGCCAGATCATCCTTACTGGAGAAGACGGACACGGTAAAACAGTTTTTTATAGGCTCTGCACTGTCGCCGGCCAGGAACTACTTGAGCAGTGATTCGTTTTTATTGGTCCCGGATCTTTTTTTGCATGCTGTCTGCTATGCTCCAATCAAGAATCATGTCTCTATGTGTTTATACTACTTTGTATTACGAAGTAGGATCTGGACTAGTTAATGTATTTGCCTCGTATTGTATATATATATATCTAGAGTAATTTTATATAAATGGAGCTATGCACAGCTTAATTTGAAACTTTGTTCTTTGAGAATCCATGGTGCGCTTATGTAATTTATAACACGAAGAACCGTGTAAAAGTATTAATTGCAAATATTTGCACTTTGGAATGTGTATAAATATAAAAAAAAATTACATGTTTATATATGTTCATACATTACTATTTGTTATCTTTTGATTTTAGAAAAGTTAAAGTAAGATAACGGCATTTATTTATAATATAATATGCATGTAGATACTACTGTTCAGCGATTACATGCACGTGACACATATTTGTGTAAAATATTATTATTCTATTATTATAGTATATGTAAGAATTATTGCAGTACTACTAGAAACTTTTACAACAAACGAAAAATGTACGTATAAGTGACTGCAAAGGGAATATATCGCCATTGGATTCTTAAAATTTTTTAATTTAATTGCTAAAACAATCCGCTATCGCAATTACGATGACGGAAGAAACTGTTGTAACGATTATATTTACTATTGAAGATTGGTTTACTGACTTTAATTAAACGAAGAGAAATAAACTTGCTGTACATAGAGTATTTTTTGTTGATGTACCATTATTTTTTATACATTATGTGCTAGCAGCCTGTGTTTAAGCTGCTTGAAATAAGTAACATATTAGTGCTAACATTTATATGCTTTTCGAAAGTGTCATGTGAATTGTGTGATCTGAAATTTTTATTTTTGCAAACGGCTTAAACACTCGCTATCCCTCATAAACGCCTTGATTTTCTTAGACCGTATTTCGATTTTACATTAAGTTGAAGGGGCGTACCAAAGAATTATTGAGTCATAATAAGTATATCTGTTATTTCTGAACGCACCCTTTAACTAATTAAATGGTACTATCTCTGCGTCTTTAAATTGATCAATATTTATGCAATATGCGATTTTGTTTTTATCATATTTCAACTGGCACACAGTGGTCTCACAGACCACTGTTTCATTCCTTTTGTTGTCCTTGTCCTTTAGAAACCATTATCCTCTATTTACTTTCCACTCTGTAACATATATGAGTAATTTTGTTTTAATAATTTTTTTCGTTTGTGAATAACTACAGTGATCTGACAGACCGTGTTATGCCAGTTATGAAAAAATAAAAGACGCGTTAAATTAAGGATTGGTAATCCAATGGATGTTCTTTTGTATTGTAAACTAGTAGTTATTGAATTGTTACGATAGAAATTAAAATTGTCGAATGAAGAATGCGTAGTGAGAACAACACCACTTTTTATCGTGCACAGACCGTATTGGTTCGGTTTTAGCGCTTTGCAAACAGCTTCTTGACGTTGTCGCATTGTGAGTATAATTTATCTGAGATATTTGTTTAGAATTTTCTTTTATCATCTTCTAGTTTGCAATATAGATGCAATTGGCTCGTTATGGGTCGATCATGGAACGCTTATCATATGTTTGTTTCAGGATATCCTGTATCAGTCTCAGGCGTAATCACAGTGCCAGTGTCTGCCAGTATGTATCAAACTATGGTGGCCAATATACAGAGCGATGGTACGATGCAGGTGGTAACGCCGATGGTTCAAGTACCCAAGGTCGAATCAGGAAACGGAGACACCACCATCGAGGCTGTTACTATACAAGGTCACCCCATGACGATGATAAATGCCGCCGGAGAACATCAGGTTCTTCAAGTAATATCGTTAAAAGACGCCAACGTTCTGACAAAGACCATGCAGGCCGAAGTTAAGGACGAGGACAGTCAACAACAACAAACTGTGTCTAGCCCAGAATAAACACGTTAAGTGTAATCTAGTTAATCTAAAAGAATCACTCCGTATCACCTGTACATGCTATCAGTGCATCACGGTGATATACGGAAAGGATAAATGTGTGAAAGAATTAGTAACGATTGGTGTTGTGTTTTCTTTTTCTCTTTGAGTCACTGTTCTGTGTAGCGTATCTTGCTGATTGCATCGTCATTGAACAGCGGTTATATTTGAAAATAAGAATGAATGAGTGTGAAATTGATTGAATTAAGATTAGTCATATTTGTACTCAAGATACAACATAGACGCTTGAGAGTATTCACTTGCAATCCAATTTTTCGGATGTAGTATTAATTTTCAAAGAGGTCTATTGTCGTATCAGGTGAATGCGTCTGTTTTCGAAGATAATTATCTATCGCACTGTTTACTGGAAAATCGATAAATCACGGATACTTGTGTGATTTTCCAGTACTGCGTGAGTTAAGCACATATTTTCTAGTCTTATAGCCAGGTTGATACATGGGAATACACACCAAAGACTTATTCTTTTATTAATTTGTTAATATTTTCTACGGAAACAATTTATATGAAAATGTTTATACTTAATTTCATAAATTAATCATGAAGCTCGATTACTTCCACAATGACAGCAGAAATAATTCATTCAGTTTTGTTAACGACACAAGATGATCTTTTTTTAAATTTAATGAAGGCACACAAAGCTTCCCCACAGATACCTAAAAGTAAAAACGAGAAAAACTACAATTTTTTTGTTATATTCTTAATGAAATTGGTTTTCTATAAAGAAATTTATTTTTATGGGCAAAAACAAGGCACATAGAGTCAAATAAATTGCATGGTCAATCTATTAAAACATTTGAGCTCGAAGTTCAGTCTGATTAAATCGTACGAGTCAAAAAATTATCAAGATTTTCTTATCACTGTATAACAGTATATATAATAATACAGACGTGGGCGTTTCTCATGAGCGTTTCTTGACCACTTGGAATTTCTTCTAAATAGTCAAGATATGCAAAAAACAGGCTATTATATATAATATATAAAGGATCGCGATAGTAGAAATAAAGAAAAAAAAAAAGAGTTAAGCATTTCTGACGGGTACAAATAGAATGTAAGATGTATGTTTTTTCATAACTAAGAAAGCATAATAATATACAGACTACAGTTTGCAGTTTTAATACGCACCAACGAAAGGCGTGTGTCCGTAATCTTATTTTACAAGAATTATATTGCACTATGTACTTGTTTCAATTAGCGTAATCAATAACGAGTCATTATTTGATTTTCACCAACGAAGAAAAAAATGTAATTATATTTGTATGAAAGATTATTTTTATGTGTTCTTGATTTCGAAAATTATAGAATTACAATGTATGTATATTATTTTCGAAAGAGGAGGGTATGCGATTGTAAAAACCAGGATTCACACACACATACACACATATATACTGTCCTTCATTTCACTTGAAGGTAATCAAAAGTAATCGATTCTATTTTACACTAAATAGTTGAACTGTGTCGTGGTATTTAAAATCATCGCTCCCATTTTTATATAATATATTTAAAGTGACGAAAAGTGTATTTTTTGCGTGCAATCTTGTTTCAATGTTGCGGTGACAAATTGTAGAATTATCTTTACCTGAAATAACTTTACTTTTTTAACTGTGCACTTCTATTCTCTCGCCTTTTTTGTATGTAATCTACATTACATTTTACATTACATATCTACGTTATATGTAGAATGATTAAAATAATGCTATCCTTCAGTTGTAGTTGTTATCCAATTGTAAATTGGATAATGCATAGCATGTTACATGTATTGCAAAGCAATACTTCACTCCAAAGATCGTAATATTGAAACAACAAATTGCCCTTGAAATCATGTGTAATAATATTAAAGAGATTTTTATAACATTATAGGGAAAAGTAGTTGAAATTAGTGGTAAATACTATTAAAAGCGTATCATAATGACTAGATAATAATTGTTGCGTTTTTTTTTTTAATATCAGGGCAACTGCATTAATGATGTAATATATTGGTACTCACGTGTAAGATAAACATACTATATTTTCCCTCCGTTGTTTGTAACAAAGCACATACCGAGCATAAATTAAGTTGGATGTCATTTGAAAAGCAAGGAAAAAATATGTATTAACTTTAGATAATTATAGACATATGTGTATATGACTTTGCTGATGTATATCTCCCAATCTCTCCATCATATAATGTGTAAATAAGTTGTCATGTGTAGTTTTTAATTTTACCTCCATACATCTATTGCAATTATGCGAAACTAAAAGTGATTAATACGATTGTACTATATACTGTTACTATATATATTTCAATTGTTCGCATCACAGGCATGAAACATAAAAGAAAAAAAAATTAATTCGACAGTTTTTATATATCTTTAAAATTAAATCTCTAAATTCTGGCACATCTCATATAGAGTATTAAGCTTTGATTTTTTATTAACAGACATTAATTACAATTGTGGTTGTTTATTCAACAATGCTGCTGGGAATGCAAATACATGTCTAATTCAATTTAACTGACAAATTATTTTCAATGTTTGCATCTGAGGCAGCAGTTAATATATAAATACTAAAATTTATACAGTATATTTTTAGTCCATTACATTTCATATACTGATTGATAGGCTAATTCTGGGTTATCATATCCTAACTCCTCGGGTGTGTTGATACCTAGCTCGTCCAAAGTGGGTCTAATTTCTTGAAGAATGTAAGGATAGATTTGAGCGGCATGTGGGCCACCTTTATCTTTTACAGACTCTAGGAACCTTACAGCGAGCGCAAAGTCATTTAACCTTCGGCAAGCTCTCAATGCTGCGCATATGATCTTTGGTTCTGGCACAAGATCCATACCTAAACAAAACGAAATGAATTTGTTATTTTACAATTGACACATGGATATGCATTTATAATAGGTCAATATAAAATAAAGATTGCGACTACCTGATTAAAAAAATGCTTGCATGATAAAAATAAATATCTTCTTTCTATTTTATAATAGAATATCATCAGTGTCCAATTTTTTTAATGTAAATTCTTCGAATGATAATTCAAGAGAAAATCAATTTTCTTTTTGAATTAAATTTATTTAACGATTAAAAATAAAACACTCATAGCAATATGGATTTCAGAAAGGCAAATACATGCATGGAAAAGTTGTTCCTCAAGTATAATTTCAAATAAATTTTCAAGTAAATTTTAATAGAAAAGATTTTAATCAATAATCAATGACATTAGACTGATATGTAAATGATACAACTAATAATAAGTAGGAAAATAACTTATTTAATCTGAACTACATTTTAATGCTTAATATTTCACTATGAATTTATACACACATTCAATTCTGTATATAAATTCACTAAACACTAAAATATTATTAAGTATTAAGATCTAGCTCAGACCCCTCCCTCCAAAACAAGATATCTTCCTACTTACTTTTTAATACAAGTTTTATAATAGAAGTTTTTAATAGGACTTTAACAGGAGTTATGACTAAAGAGATATTCGGTAGTACCAGAACACTGTATGTTTATGCAAATACAATGCAAAATAAAGTGCAATTGAAAGGAACAGTAGCGTTTTACTTCACTACTTCTCGTCAATAAGAAAACTACCATCAGTATTAGGTGTCGTCGTGTTTCAACAGTTCGAGATTGATCATTTTTTAATAAAGATAATCAACGCGAGCTTACCGGCCAGATCGTTCATGGCTTTTCTGATCTCCCAGTGATCAATATCGTTGCGATTGAAGAAATTTACATATCGTTGATCAAATTCCTCGTCGGTCTCCTTGGGACCACCGTGGGCAGTTCTGGTGCACTGCGTGCCGACGACGGAGATCTGCGGCATAATCGCGGTGCGTGCTGCCGAGGCCACGCGTGTCGCTACGACGCGCAACATTTCTTCTCGCTGAAAATCTCGCACGAAAAACTTATACGGACTGACTGATTATCTGTCTGTTGCGTAAACCGGCCACGGCGGAAGTCGACCGTCGAAATTAGTCGAATTGCTTGAAGTTTGCGGCAAGTTCGACCAGATGACGTGATCTGTCACTTCCGATCGCGAGTGATACCGGCGCGTATCTTTAAATTGAGGGACAATAGCTGCTTTCCTTTTACACACAAGTGAAACTGAGTCCGAAGTGAGCTGAGCATTTCAAACTCAGCTCACTTCGGAGCTAATGACGTCATCGTTCAGTATGTAAAAGGAACGCGCTGAAATGAGAAATTCTCACTAACCTCAAATTAAATAATAAAAGGTATAATCAAAGGTTAGGCTCGTATTCTAAATAATCACCAATTATTTATTAAAAATTACAATTCTTTTATCAATTTATTCTTGCTTTTTTGATGAAAAAGTTATCGAATATACATAGGTTTATAACCTCACTTTGAAGTGAGTTTACGAGACTCACGAAAGCACACGGTCTCGATCTTGTGCAGATTATGGGGAAAAACTCAGTTGAATCTCACTTGTCAGAATGCAAAAGGAACGCGCATTCAACTGAGTTATGACGTCACAAGTGAGAATTATCTGAGAATCGGTGTAAAAGGAAAGCAGCTAATGAGTAAGAAATTAGATTTGGTTTAATCAGATAACTTTAATTTTAATCTTTTAATTACTGTTTTAATTAGTTTCGTTCTAATTGATCGAATTCTACTTTGTAATTTGCAGTTTTCAACTTTCAATAAATCTGTTTTTTTATTCCTACACTCTTAAACATCATGGTGCACGCATCCATGATGGAAGTATATTTCTAAGGCCGGAATCAGACTACGCATTAGGTCTGTTCGCGTTGCATGAAATCCCCAAATATTTTTGCATTTAAAATGAGATAGATACATATTTGGCCTTGAAAAGAGAGAAAGCGAAGATGCCGAGTGCCAAAAGTGCAAGCAACATGAACAGACCTATTGAATATTGAGATCGAAGATTAAAAGATTGAAATTTGACCAATCAAAACAATAGGAGCTAAAATTCCTTTGTCCTCACTGGTCAAATTTTAGTCTTCAATCTTCAACCTCAATCTTCAATGCGTAGTCTGATTCCGGCCTAATATACTTCCTAATATACATCCACCATGTGAACTTTTGCATCAGTTCATCTTTCTTCCTTTTCTCTTCAGGAGGAAAAAAGAGGAAGAAAGATGAACTGGTGCAAAAGTTCAGCCAAAAAGAACAGACCTAATGTTTCGAGCAGAATCTCTATTATTGTATGGAAGTCGGTCAACATTTTGAACTATTATCACGTTAACTTACACGACAGTATGTCTTAGACATCCTTTGTTTTGCAAATTATTAATGAACTGATTCAATAGATAATAAAGAAAAAAGATATGATGATTTGTTTGTTTCATATCTAACACCCTGCATCTTCTAAACAAATTGATCGAATTTAAAAAAATCAAATGTAGAGAATTGAAAGACTTTTCTAATGATGTATCATTTGACCCACCTTCCTATGATTGTATGTTCATGTATACATAAACGTAATTCACGTAATATCATTATTTATTGACATTTCCTAAAATAATTATTGTGTTGGATGGTGATTATTCTTCGACGTAGAAGCATATTGCGATGTAGACGTAATATTCATTGTAATATGATAATAAAGTAATGCATAACAATATACAGGGTGGCCTATCGAAAACGAAACAGACCGAATATCTCCTATAAAAATGATTTATAATACATATATATAATTTATGTTAAAAAATATATATATTTAAAAAAACTGTTGCGTTTAGTTTTAAAAATACAAGGAACATTTGTTTACAAGTTGACTAACGTCTGTCTATAATACTATTTCGTACCACACGTATTATTTCAAATGAGCCAATTATTATCAGACATGGCTATCAGCTGATAATAGACTGTTAGCAATTTTGCAAAAAATGTACATTGATATGCATAGTTAAACTATTTTTGTAGTATCGCGATGCACCGATATCAGTTTTCTAATTTTCATGTTAATTTCATAAAACTCGTAGTTTTTAGTCGCCAAGCAATATTAGCTAGCCTTTACAAGAAACTGTTATTAGTACTGCGCTAATTACCGAAGTGATATAAACTCAATCAGTAACTCACGAATTTCATTACTTTTATTCGGACACGTGCGAATCGCGTATTCAAATAAAATGTCCTACGAAAGCGGTCAAAGATGGATCGACGAGATAATGCCAAAGATAATCAAGAATCTTGGATCGGACATTCACAAAGCTCAGTACGAATTATTAGAATCTACTGGCAATTTTATGTCCAACATATATCGTGTACGTTTGCTGTTTGAGAACAAAATAAATAGACAAAACGAAGAATTGTCTATGGTACTGAAGAGAGCCACGTCGGATTTCGGTTTCAATAGTGATCTTCAATTTCGGAACGAAATCCTGTTTTATCAAATGTACTCCCGACCGGATGAGAATTATGCGAGATGCTTCTACTTCGAAGAACGATCGCCCACCGACTTCGTAATTGCCTTAGAAAATGTCAACGGACAAGGATATTATTCTTGTCCATATAATAAATATGATCCCCCAGTGGAATACACATTAGCGGCGATGCGCGAGTTGGGACGATTTCATGGTAAAGGATATGTCATGAAGGAAATGCAACGGGAAAAATTCTTCGATATCGCGACGCAAATTCAAGAAGTTAGGTATACAAACAAAACGGAGAGTATTTACAAGTTTGTTTGCAACATTAAGACATCACGAGTGGTAGAATATCTTCGCAGCCAGGATCATGATGCAGTTTTCTGTGATAAGATGGAGGCCTTACTTTCAAACGCGTTTGAAAAAGTGATGATAAAAACGGTACAGCCGCTTGAACCTCTAGCCACGTTGTGTCACGGTGATTTTACATTGGACAATATTCTCTTCAAGACAGAAGACAATAAGGGACAGCATCTTCCAATATTAATTGATTTCGCGCTCATTAGATACTCGACGCCTGTTATTGATCTCTCCACATAT